GAGGTTGAGTGCCCCTGCATGACAAATGCCTGCTAAGGGTACAAAAAGAAATGAACTCAAATCTGTCAGACTCAAGGCAATGCTTTTAATTTCCTGTGGGACAGGCTCTAGGGAAATAAAAATCCCTCCTTCCCATCCCCTCCCACACTAGGGGGTGTCCCAAGGTCCTCTGAATTCCCTGCTGGCCTCCCCGGGCCACAGAGGATTGCCAGTCCAAAGACCCATACGGGTGCAAGGAAGATGGGGAAGAGGGGAATTGAGGTGGCTGGAAAACCTCAGGCTGCTGTCCCAAGCCAGGGAAGTTCCCTGCATGGATTCTTGGGGCAGGCCCAGGGATAGCCCCTCCTCTCCCTGATCCCAGGCAGCTTCAGCAACTTTGATGGCTCAGAGAACCTTAAATTAATCACCCACTCAAAGTGCTGCCATCAGGCCAAGAGTAATCACCCCTTGAAGCACTCCTGGCTCCAACATTCCAAGGATACAGGCATCTGCACCAACAGGACTGAAGACAGACACCCAGCAAGGCTTCCTCAATGGGAAGAAGGAATGTACTACGGAGTTGAGATGGGGTAGGCAATGAGAGACCTAACCTGACCCCAAAGGAGAACTCAGGAAGGGGGGACAAAGCGGGAGGAGGCAAATTAGAAATGAGATGGTCTCTCCACTCTCCCCCTCCTGACAATAGACAAACAAGAGGATTAGGAGTAGAAAACAGCAGTGCAAAAATTGGAATAATTCTCTGAGACCCAATCATGACGAAAAGTTCTTAAGAACACGTCTTTCCTACTATCTGGAATGAGGAACTTTGTCCTCTGAATCCTGGTCTGGGAGGCAGAGGGCTGGGTTGCTGGCACAGCTCACTAGGTATGACTCTGGAGGAATATGTACCCCTTTCTGCGCCCTTGTATAACCAACAGTACACCTCACGGTTGGACAGACGTGACAGAACTCAGGAGGCTCTCCAGGAAAAGCATGGGCCAGCAGAGTCCTAGGAAGCCAGCCACCCCACTCCTCTATGGTTCTGAGGCTGCCCTCCAAGGCTAGATGAATACACAGATACCCACAGTTCCATAAGGGTAGCCCCATAAGGGTGAGAGGTAAAGGCAAAAAACTCTATGGCACAGAGCCAGCTCCAAGCTGGCTTCAGGGTCCTGGGTGGAGCCATAAGCTCAGGTGTATATCTATGCAGTGAGTGAAACCTGCACCTTTGCTGGCACTGAAGGGTGCTGTGCACTGGATTCCTTTTCCTTGGATGCACGCTGCATAAGCATTTGTGACACCTGTGGGCACGAGTGTCAAGGCTGCAGTGAATGTGTACAGGAGACATCCAGGTGGCCTGTGGCAAGGATATGTATGCATGACAAAGGCGTGACTGCACTGGGTACACCTGGGCAGATGCCATTCCATTCCACCAAACCCTATCACTGCTTCCTTCCTAGGAGCTAGGGTGCTGGGTTCTGGGGACCACTGGGTGGCATAGGAGTGCTGATCTCAGGAGCCTAGGGTTGCAGTGCTGACTGAGATCCATTTCCCATCAAGCTCTGGGATGAGGCTCTTCCACATGAACTGAACGACTCTCCTGAATCTCAGTTTCCTCATCTGTTAAACAGAGGATGATGGCAGCCACCTCCCAAGGCTGTTGAAGGACCCATGAAAGAAGTCTAAGACTGCTTAGCATGGTGCCTGGCATGCAGATGGTGCTGCTCTGGCAGTCAGGAATTTCAGTTCAAACTCCAAAGCCACAGCAGGTGGCCAGAAGGAGCAGAGGGAGTTGTTCTGGACTGGGAGTCAGGAGTCTTGAGGTCTTGTCCTCTGCATCTGCCACCAACTGACCACATGATTTTGGTCTCTGGAGCCTTAGTTTTCTCAAAAGCAAAATGGGGCTGTCAAAATGTGAGGACCAGCCTGGTGTAATGCCTGAGGGTCCTGGGTACCCTTTGCAGGGATTATTTCCAACCCAGATGATGTGCTTTCTCAGATGGTCAGGATGCGAGGTCTGGGACCTCCAGGGTTAGGAGTCTGAGGGTTCTAGGAGCTGCTACCACCTCCTCCCCTCTATTCCCACAGCTTCTGACCCCAGGGACAAGGCTGAGGGAGGATGTTTACAGAGCCGTAAACCTTCACATAGAGAAAGTCTGCTGGGCAGCTGGGGGGCTGGGAGCAGCAGGCAAGTGTCTCACAGTAGCTTCGGAAGCATGGTGGGCCACAGGCCTTGCTCTGTACCAGCTCCTCTCAGCTCCTGGACTCCAGGGGAGGCTGGTGTGGCCTTCAAGAGGGTGCTACAAGGGTGAGCATTCCCCACAGGGCCCAGGAAACAGAATGGGCAACAACAGTCTCTGCAAAACACTGAGAGCTGGGAAGGGTTGAGAGCCTATCCCGGGGTGGGGTGCAGGGTGTTGAGACCAGGAGTCTAAACAGAGAGGAAGAGCGCAGAGGAGACCCCTCATTCTGGATCTCAACAAGACGACACGAGGTGGCTGGGGATTTAGCTCAGTGGTTCTGGCGCCTGCCTCTGAAGCGCAAGGTTCCGAGTTCGATCCCTGGTACCAAACAAAAACCAAACACACACACACACACACACAAAAGAAGACACGAGTTGTCATTCTCATTTCCCAGAGTGGCAGCTGTTGGCAGGAGAGGCCAAATCAAGCTTGTCCTATCTATGGGCATCCCGTCCCTGACCCCCAGGTGTCAGAAAAGGTGCAGGTTCTCTGTGGAGCTGGAGGGGTCGGCCTGGCAGCTGTGAGGGAGATGTCCCAGCTCCCTCCTTCCTAAGCCTTCTCTTCCAAGATCTTCTGAGGGGCCCTCTTGTCACCGGCCTGTGTCTGTGAGAAGGAGGTCCTAGCTAACTGTATGCACACAGCAGTTGGGCTGTCTCTGAGGGAGACTAGGGAAGGAATGAGGGGAGGACTAGATATCCAGTGGCAGGAAGCACTTCTTGCCAAGATCACATAAGACCCTACAGTGAGTGGCTGAGAAATCCCACATCTGGATCTCTTCAAGAACAGGGGAGACTTCTGTGTGGGGCCCTCCCCCAGCCGAAATAATAACAGCCATCCCTCACACTCAGACAGGCCCTTGCAGCTTACCAAGCTCTCTCCCATTCATTATCTCAGCAAGAGGGAGACCGCAAGTTTGGGGTTTCTACCCATTTTGATGATCTACAGATCTAAAGTTCAGAGAGGTCCAGCAACCAACACAAGGTCACAGAGTGGCCAAGAAGTGGGGCTTCTGGAGCCTCAGGCCACTCTGACCTCTAAGATGGATGACCAGTTCTCAGAGACCTGAACATCAGCATGTTTTCATATCACATTTCTTCCCCCAGAGCTCCAAAAAACATCTTAGCCCTGGGCTCTTGGGGACAAGGGGTCAGGACAAGCACTGGCCTGGCCAAGGCATTCCTGGCAGCCACTCTCAGTGAGCAGCCCCTGCTCCTCACCTCCCACCCTACCAGCACTGAACCTCATCCTTCCAACCATCCTCTGTATCGAGAAATGTTCACCCCAACCCTCCCAGGGGAATCTTGACCCAAAGCCTGACCTCACGTCCTATGCCAGGGATTTCTACTCAAAGTCAAGGCTGGCACCCCCAGTTACTTAATGGCTAAAGGAGTTCTCTTTCTCTCTCCCTGATCCCCCTTCCTCCCCTTCCTCTCTGAAATTCAGGGCCTAGTTCAGAAGGGGGAAAGGCAGGCAAGCCTGCACCAGAGGGACACGCAGAAAGACAAACCAGAAGGCAGGTGGGGAAAACCAGGTAGAAGACAAGCTGTCAGGTGGACAGGTGTATAGACAAATAGATAGACACACAGATCATCGGACAGACTGAGGGAAGGATGGAAACTGACCAGCAGAAAGATTGCAGGATTATTAGGTGGAAAGATGAACAGACAGGCCAATACACACACAGATGGAATTCAGCCTGGTAGAAGCACTGTCGGACTATCAGGTAGAAGTTAAGAGGGCCACCCAAGAGACCCCAGGACTCAAGGGGTGGTGAGAGCAGATTAATAGCACATTTTCCAAGGACTGGAGGTTTCTCTCGGGCACCTCTGAGTGTCCCAGCGCCAGGCCCAGCCCTTTAACTGATATCTGTGTGGCCTCTCATGTTCCTGGCTGGGCCAGGCCGTCCCCCAAGACGGAGCTCTGAGCTGCCAAAATTCACTCTTTACATCCAAGAGGGGTCAGTGTTTTTGAAAGTTGTAGTGGCCTGGGGAGGGGGAGGAGGCACCTGCAGTGTCAGTGTTTCCAAACATACCCCTCTCCTCTTTCTTTTTCCCCCAGTACCCAGAGCCAGGCCTGGTGTGGCTGGCCAGCAAGGCAGGCTCACTGGGCCACCGCGGCAGGGCAGAGCAGGGCAGCAGAGTCCTGCTACTGCTGCTGTGAAGCTGAGGGTAGGGGGCAAAACTCCTAAAGACACCGATAAGCCAGACACAGAACACAGGCCTGTCAGGGCCATGGGGATCCCCAAACACCTACAACCAATGGCCTACCCTGGCTGGGGAGGGGGCTCCCTGGGGAGGTGTATTCCCAAGGGGAGCCCAGGAGGGGCCCATCATAGCCGCAGAGCTGGGAAGGAGGTGACAGAAGACATGGGGGCCAGGGGTCCTCTCTATGTCGGGACACAGGCAGGCAGAGGCAGGATGAGGAAAAGGAGCCTCATTATAGTGACTCCTGACTTTGCCAAGCAGAGAGGGGCAAGAAGCTGGATGTGAGAGTACCTGGGACAGCGGGGCAGGGGCCAGCGATCCGGATGGAAGTAAGGAGTAGAGGTGGAAGAGGTCAGAAGAGAGGGCAGCAGGGGTCGGGACTGGGAGATCCGAAGTTAGGGTCAGGCTGGGGAAGCCAACGAGGGGTCTCAGGCGGGAGAGGCAGAGATGAGGGTCAGGACGGAGCAGGGAGGCGGAGCCAGGGCGGGGCGGCGGTCCCCTGGGAGGCTGGCGGGCGCGGGGGGTGGGGGGGCAGCGCGAGGGCAGACGGAGGGGCGCTGGGTCGCAGACTCACATGAAGACGTGGTAGACGAAGGCCCAGCCGCGGGGCCGCTCCAGCACGTTGTAGACCCAATTCTGCAGGCGACGGTAGCGCTTGTGAGCGGCGGAGGACCGCTGGCCGCAGGCGGAGCCCGAGCCAGAGCCCGGCCCAGGGAGGGGCGCGCCCGGCGGCAGGGGGCTGCCCAGGAGGCCGTGGCGGCGCGGGGAGCCTCCCCCGCCCGCCTCGCCCTGCTCGCTCTGCACGGCGGTGAGCGCCAGCAGCTCGGCGCGGGGAGCGTCCCCGGGTGGGGGACCCAGGCCGAGGCGGCGCGGGGGGGCTTCGGCCATGGGCGGCGCCAGGCAGTGGGGGCCGGAGCCTGGTGCGGGCCGGGCCGGGGGCGCGCTCAGGGGCGCATGGCTAGGAGCCGGGGCCCGCGGGGCGCCCCGAGGTGGGCGCGGGCGGCGGGGGCGGTAGGGGCCGGGCCGGGGCCGTGCCGGGGCAGGGGGCGGGCACTCCGAGCCTGGGGGCTGCCGGAGCCCGCAATGACCGCCCGCTTCCCCGGCGACTGGGGCGGCTCTTTCCGACTCCAACTCTCTTATTACGCGCTCCATGCCGCTCGCCTTTCCACCTGCCGCCGGCGCCGCTCACATGTCAGCCTCCCCCGCCCCCCCCCCCCCCCCCCCCCCCCCCCCCCCCCCCCCCCCCCGCCCCGCCCCTCCCCCGCCCGCCCCCGCCCGCCCCGCGGCCGCCTTCCCAAATCGGGAGGGAATGAGGGAGCCAAGAGCGAGGCAAGGCGGAGGGGGGGGACGAAGGCGGTGGGGCAGGGCGCGCGGGCCGCCGAGTCGGTGCCCGGGCGGGACCGCGTGGCGGGGCAGCGCGCGCGGACCGGGAGGCTGGGCGTGTGCGAGGGCTGTGCGCGGCTGCGGAGACAGGGTGGCTCCGAAGGGTGGCCTGGGGATGGGACGCCTCGTAGGTGGCTGTGGAAATTGGGGCGTGGAGTGTGGAGTTGTGGCCGCCGTCGTGCATGGGACACGGTGTCCTGCGGAGTTTGGACGTGCGTGGGTGGAGAAGCGACTACTTGTGTGTGCAGAATGAGCAGTTTTGCATCTGCGAGCTGCGGTGTGGGTGCGTGTGAAGATGCATGCACTTCTGGCTGGTGGTGTAAGCGATGAGTGTGCATGCCGGGTCGGGCAGGGTACGGTGAGCGCAGTGCTGGGTGCCAGCTAGGGAAGCCGGTGCAGGTGCGCGGGTGCTACCTGAGGGGCCTGGTGCGCAGGGGCCGCCCAGATGCATGGGATGTACATAGCATGGTGGGCCCCAGACATGTCTGTGTTTCCCCCATCTCTAAGATGCCCTTCTTCACGATGGGGGAGCGGGGGGAAGAGCCCCCGGTTAGCCACCCCGCCCAGAAGTGGGGCTCCCCGGATTCCTGTTCCTACTCCCCTGCCCCGTGGGAAATTCTCCCGTGCATTACTCCCAGGTCAGGGAAACAGGCTCAGGGCAGATGGGGTGTGGGGAGGTGAGCGCTGAGCCAGCTTTAGGAGAACTAGTCAGGGTCCTCCCAAGGGCCCACAGAGTCCTACCAGAGAAGGAGAAGAGGAGACATTCCCACAGAGCACCCCTCTGGCTGAAAAGTCCCTCTTGCTGCCTGACCTCCTTGTCTGGCTGTCTGGGCGACCCTTTCCCTTTAGCCGCGGCCTCTGAGCAGGGCAGTAATTCAGGTGTCCTGATCTTCCTTCCCTCTTCTCCTGCCCAAAGCTGGGGCTGACCGGCCTCTCCCTCTGTAGGCCCTGCCCTGGGGTGAAGAGCTTCCGCAGCAAACTCTTCCCAGTTCCTCCGGGAGGATCTCGGGGGACAGCCGAGCAGGGGGGGGGGGGGGACGGCGAGCTCAATTCTCAGCTGTCAGCAAAGGCAGCATTGATCTGCTGAGCGGCAGTAGGGGAGGGCGGGAGGCAGGGCTGTGGGCGGGCTGTGAGGGCGCTGTAGGGACCCGGGGGTCCCCAAGCTGTGCTTGGCAGCCAGTAGCACCCCAGCTCCTTAGTGACCTTTTTCCTTCTGCTTGGCCGGGGGCACCTTCTGGGGTCTGACCTGAATCTCTCCTGTAGCCCCTGGCTCCAGGTGTGCCCAGGCGGAGAGCTTGGTGCCCCTGGGCAGGTTATGTACTGATCTTCAAGCAGTTGGGGAAGGTTTCTAGACCCCGGATGCAATGGATGCACTATGGATGACCCGCCTCAGCTGGTTGGGTAATCTCTCCCTTAAGCAGAAGCCAGTATCCCCCCCCCCGACACACACTACATGGCATTGCCTCCCCTGACCCTGAGTAGCTGCCTGTCTGGGCATCTTCCATCTGGAATCCAGGGGGTGTGACTAGGGTCTGGATGTGAATGGTACCAAGGAAAGCAGCTGCCAAAGGCCTGGGGTCTTTTGAGGCTCTTTGGTGGCAGAAATGGAACTTGAATTCAGGTTGCCCTTATCACACTCAGAATATTTAAAATTGGGTCTGTTCTGGGAAATCTGATCCTCTAGCTCAGCATCACCTCTGAACCCTATGCCTCTCTTCCTGTTTGGGGAACTTCAAAGGTCCCTTCTCCTCCTCTGTGGAGCCCTCTCTGTAGGGAGATGGCCTCTTATCATCTTTCCCAACTTCAGCTCCAGGTCACCTCTTCAAAGACAATGGGAGGAAAGAGACTGTAGCTGCAGCTAGAAGGATGGAAGTTAGATCTCAGGAAGCACTTCCTGTTTCTCCTGCAGGTACACGGCTATTCAAAGTATAGAGCGCCTCTGAGCTCTTCCTGAGGGGTGGAAGGGATGGAAAGTGGCTGTAGGAGGCCCTGGCAAAGTTTAGTTGGTGCGTGTGTGTCCGTGCCCAGGAAAGTGGAGGAGGCAGAGGAGAAAGTCCAGTTCAGAGAGGACAGGTGGCCACTCTGAGTGTCATCCTGTGGCTTTTCTGCCCCCATCCGGATTCCCAGGACATGACTGGGAGGATGGACTTTCCCCACTTCGGCCTTAGTGACTAAGACACTTTTCTGAGCAAACAGCTGTCCCACGCTTGCTCAGTTGACCCCTCTGCTGGAGGGAGGTGGGGTTGTGCTGGTTTCCTGCCCTCCTTCTTCCCGCTCGTCCACCTGTTCCCTCGGCTTCATCCTCAGCAGCTTCCTTCCCAACCCCCAGCACCACGTTCCTCCCTGGTCACACTGCCAAAATGTCCCTGCTCTACCCAGACCCACCCACTGTCCCACCTGTGCAGTCCCTCCTCTGGCCTGCACTTCACTCTTCCCATCTATTGGGGAAGGGGGCAGGCTCCAAGACCTGCTGTGATTCATCACTGTCCCCATCATCCATCAGTGGAGCAAGTATTGATTGGGAGGAAGAGCGGGGAGGGAGAGTGCTCCCATTTGCTGAGCACCAACTGTGTGCCAGGCCCTGTCCCTTATAGGACAAAGAGCAGGTTAAGGCTCAGAGAAGTGCGGGAACTTCAGTTGGTGACCCCAGAACTGCCTATGACCTGTGCTCTCCCTCTGGCTGGCACCTGCCTATGGGGCCATGAGTGGTTAGGTCAGTGGTGGCGGCTGAGGGAACTGTATGTGGCCAATCCTTGTTCTCCAGGACTCACTTCTGCCAGGAGGTGAAAGGTCTGAAAGGATGAAAGTTCAGAAGTGGCTGGGACCTCAGCCTTTGGGGCCAGCCAGGTTCAGCCTGTTATTGACTCCCTGTGAGACCTCAGGTCATTGAAGGGCTTGGGTTCCTCTCCTGGGATGGGAGAGGGTGATTAAAGTCAGCAGTTTTCTGACTTCATCAGCAAGGGAATCCTTTTTACAGACAGAATCATAAGGTAGCACATAATGTATAAAACCAGTTGCTGTGGCTGGGTGGGGAGGGGGGGTTCCACCCACCTTGCCTCTCCGCTCTCCCTGCACCCAGGAACCCCGGGGTTTCCTTATAGTTTTAATGGTTGCTAGAGAAAGGAGGGAGGTGTCTCCCCTGGCAGTGACAGAGGGAGCCTTGTTGGGGACAAACGTGGGGAGGACTCAGGGAGGTCCAGAGAAGTATAACCCATAATGCCTACATCTTCCATCAACAAAGCTGGGCTGAATGCTAAGCCTCCTGCATGATGCCAGACCTGCCTTGTCTCTCAGCATCCCGAGACCCCTGGGAAACAACACTGTTCATACCCTCATTTTATTTTTATGTTTTTTAGTACTGGAGATTGAACCAAGGGCCTCACACATGCTAGGCAAGCCCTCTACACTGAGCTACATCCCCAATCCTTTTAAATTTTGAGACAGGGTCTTCCTAAGTTGCCCAGGCTGACTCCAAACTTCCTATCTTCCTGGCTTAGCCTCCTGAGTAGCTGGGGTACAGATGCACACTGTGCAGTACTCACCCCCACTTTACAGTCAAGAAGACCGAGCCTCAGTAGAGATTTACCTAACAGAGTGCTTGACCCTTGTTGCAGTGCATGTAAGTGGGGCATTGGGATGGCAGGATTTCTAGAGCATGGGGGAGGATGAGAACATATGGCCAGAGGGATGCAGGAGGCCTTGAATGCCAGGCCAAGGGTACTTTGACTGGATAGGAAACAGGAAGCCTGGCCAGTGTCTGAGCCTGGTATACTGCAGAAGCTGAGGCGCCTCAGGAGAGAGCGCAGGAGGGGTGGGCAAAGGGCACCCGCACGAAGGAAGATTGACAGTGCTGAGACAGAAAGCCCTGAACCAGCGGTCGGGGCGGGGCTTCCAATCCTGCCTGTACATACAGTACTTCCCTAATCTCTGGCTGTCGTGAGGGCTGGATTTGAAAGTCACATATTGTGTAAGGATTATGTACAGATTATGTACAAACATGAGCCATCCATTTTGGCGGAGAGGGTGCTCATGGCTGACAGCACCACAGTGTTGCCTCTGGAGCCCACCTCCACAGAAAGCAGAAGGAGGGAGATAGGAGCGTTAAAGCCTTCTTGTCCCCTATGCAGCCCAGAAATGACAGGAGCCTTAGCCTGCCCAGTGGATGAAGGGGCTGGAGGAACCCAGGGAGTTGTCCTTGAGAGCTGAGTAGTCACTGAGCTGCCCCCTGGCCAAGGCCAAGCTGGTCAGGCTAGTCAGCCCAGAGCCACAGGAAGTGGGGAGGGAACAATGTGTATGAGCTCAGCGAGAGTGAACCCCCACTGATCTAAAACCTGGAGGGGGGCCTAAGGAGGAGACACCGGAAAAAGGATGCGGAAATGAAGGTCAAAGCCATCCCTTCTTGCACTGCTTCTCCTCTGCCTTCAGGATTCTTCCTCTTTAACCCTGCTCCTGGAAGATTGGGCAGAAGGCCAGTAGCCCAGGGGTCCTGCTGGTAGGTTCCATGT